TTACCACGTTTGCAGTGTTTTTGCATTAGTGTTTAGTGGCATTTTTCAACGTTTGTGATTTTTAGCTTTTTTTAACTCCAAAAACTTTTTTTGGTAAAAAAAAGTCTAAAAACGACGGTTTGCAGCATTTACCACTTTTTTTTTCAGCATTTTGCAGTGTTTTTGCATTAGTGTTTTGCCACGTTTAGTGGCGTTTTCCCACGTTTGCGATTTTTAGCTTTTTTTTTACCCTCAAAAACATTTTTTTGGTAAAAAAAAAGTCTAAAAACGACGGTTTGCAGCATTTACCACTTTTTTTTTTCAGCATTTTGCAGTGTTTTTGCATTAGTGTTTTGCCACGTTTAGTGGCGTTTTCCCACGTTTGCGATTTTTAGCTTTTTTTTTACCTCAAAAACATTTTTTTTTGGTAAAAAAAAAGTCTAAAAACGACGGTGTTGCCATTTAAAAACTTTTTTTTCAGCATTTTACAGTGTTAGCATTTGTTTTGCCACGTTTAGTGGCGTTTTCCCACGTTTGCGTTTTTTCTAGCTTTTTTTTTTACACTCAAAAAAATTTTTTTTGCGTAAAAAAAAATTCTAAAAACGACGGTTTGCAGCATTTACCACTTTTTTTTCAGCATTTTGCAGTGTTTTTTTGCATTAGTGTTTTTGCCACGTTTAGTGGCGTTTTCCCACGTTTGCGATTTTTTTAGCTTTTTTTTTACCTCAAAAACATTTTTTTTGGTAAAAAAAAAAAAAAGTCTAAAAACGACGGTTTGCAGCATTTACCACTTTTTTTTCAGCATTTTGCAGTGTTTTTTTGCATTAGTGTTTTGCCACGTTTAGTGGCGTTTTCCCACGTTTGCAATTTTTTAGCTTTTTTTTTTACCCCAAAAACATTTTTTTGGTAAAAAAAAAAGTCTGTGTAAAAAAAACGGTTTGCAGCATTTACCACTTTTTTTTCAGCATTTTGCAGTGTTTTTTGCATTATTTTTTGCCACGTTTAGTGGCGTTTTTTACGTTTGCGGTTTTTAGCTTTTTTCACCCACCCCCTTCCCCAAAAAAAATATTTTTTTTTGGTCAAAAAAAAATCAAAAAATGATGCAGCAGTTTTTTTTACCACATTGTAGTGCGTTTTTTCAGCTTTAGTTTTGTAAAGTCACATTTTTCAACTTTGCAGCTTTTTTTTAGCTTTTTTTTTTTACCTCCGTGAAAATTTTTTTTCGTTTTTTTTTTTTTTTTTACACACAGTAAAAAAAAGTCTTCAAAAACAACGGTTTGCAGCATTTACCACTTTTTTTTTTTTTCAGCATTTTGCAGTGTTTTTGCATTAGTGTTTTGCCACATTTAGTGGCGTTTTCCCATTTGCAATTTTTAGCTTTTTTTTTTTTTTACCCCAAAAAACATTTTTTTGGTAAAAAAAAAGTTTTTTCCTGTGTAAAAAAAAAAAATAACGGGAGCTTTGCAGCTTTTTTTTTAGCATTTTACAGCGTTTTCCTGCAATTTTTTGCCATTTGCGTTTTTTAGTTTTTTTCTTTTTTACACAGCCCAGCCCCCTCAAAAAAAATATTTTTTTTGCGTCAAAAAAAAAAAGTCAAAAACAACGGTTTGCAGCGTTTTACCACGTTTTTTCAGCAGTTTTTTTTTTTTTTGCAGTGTTTAGTGGCCACGTTTTTTCCCACGTTTGCGATTTTTAGCTTTTTTTTTTTCCTCCAAAAACTTTTTTTTGGTAAAAAAAAGTCTAAAAACGACGGTTTGCAGCATTTACCACTTTTTTTTCAGCATTTTGCAGTGTTTTTTTTGCATTAGTGTTTTGCCACGTTTAGTGGCGTTTTCCCACGTTTGCGATTTTTTAGCTTTTTTTTTTACCTCAAAAAACATTTTTTTTTGGTAAAAAAAAAAGTCTAAAAAAAACGACGGTTTGCAGCATTTACCACTTTTTTTTTCAGCATTTTGCAGTGTTTTTGCATTAGTGTTTTGCCACGTTTAGTGGCGTTTTCCCACGTTTGCGATTTTTTAGCTTTTTTTTTTACCTCAAAAACATTTTTTTTGGTAAAAAAAAAGTCTAAAAAAAAAAACGGTTTGCAGCATTTACCACTTTTTTTTTCAGCATTTTGCAGTGTTTTTGCATTAGTGTTTTGCCACGTTTAGTGGCGTTTTCCCACGTTTGCGATTTTTTAGCTTTTTTTTTTACCTCAAAAAAAAATTTTTTTTTGGTAAAAAAAAAAAAGTCTAAAAACGACGGTTTGCAGCATTTACCACTTTTTTTTTCAGCATTTTGCAGTTTTTTTGCATTAGTGTTTTGCCACGTTTAGTGGCGTTTTCCCACGTTTGCGATTTTTAGCTTTTTTTTTTTTTTTCTCAAAAACATTTTTTTTTTGTAAAAAAAAAGTCTAAAAACGACGGTTTGCAGCATTTACCACTTTTTTTTTCAGCATTTTGCAGTGTTTTTTGCATTAGTGTTTTGCCACGTTTAGTGGCGTTTTCCCACGTTTGCGATTTTTTTAGCTTTTTTTTTACCTCAAAAACATTTTTTTGGTAAAAAAAAAGTCTAAAAAAACGACGGTTTGCAGCATTTACCACTTTTTTTTCAGCATTTTGCAGTTTTTTTGCATTAGTGTTTTGCCACGTTTAGTGGCGTTTTCCCACGTTTGCGATTTTTAGCTTTTTTTTTTCCTCAAAAAAAACATTTTTTTGGTAAAAAAAAAAGTCTAAAAACGACGGTTTGCAGCATTTACCACCCACTTTTTTTTCAGCATTTTACAGTGTTTTTGCATTAGTGTTTTGCCACGTTTAGTGGCGTTTTCCCACGTTTGCGATTTTTAGCTTTTTTTTTTTTCCTCAAAAACATTTTTTTGGTAAAAAAAAGTCTAAAAACGACGGTTTGCAGCATTTACCACTTTTTTTTTTCAGCATTTTGCAGTGTTTTTGCATTAGTGTTTTGCCACGTTTAGTGGCGTTTTCCCACGTTTTGCGATTTTTTAGCTTTTTTTTTACCTCAAAAACATTTTTTGGGTAAAAAAAAAAAACGTCCAAAAACACAGGTTTGCAGTGTTTTTACTGCGTTTTGCTGCATTTTCAGTGTTAAAGTGTTTTTTTTAGGCTTCATGCACACAAGGGGGGGGGGGGCGGGGTGGGGGGGGGGGGGGGGGGGGGGGGGGTGGGGGGGGGTGTTTTAATAACGCCGGTAACAATAGCTGTGTAAAGTCACATTAAAAAAATTTTCAGCGTTTTTGTAGCGTTTTTGCATTAGCATTTAGCTGCGTTTTCCTGCGTTTTCGGTTTTTAGCATTTTTTTTTTTTATAAACAATTTATGATTTAGTGAGAAAAAGTCCAAAAACAAGGGTTTGCTGCATTTTACCACATTTTTAAGCATTTTAAAGCATTTTTGCATTCATGTTTAGCAGCATTTTGCCGCGTTTAGTGGCGTTTTCACTTTTTTCCGTTTTTTTTAACTAAAAAAAATAGGGTTTTTGGTAAAAAAAAAAGTCCAAAAATGCTGGTTTGCAAGTTTTTTCCAATTCTTCCAATTCTTCAACGTTAGAGCGCCCTCATGCACACTGGGGGAGGACGTTTTCGGCAATTGCGCTTTTTTTTTTGGTCAAAAAAAGTCCAAAAACTACGGTTTGCGGCGTTTTACCGCGTTTTATCAGCATTTTTAACATAAAACACTAATGCAAAAAACACTGCAAAATGCTGAAAAAATGCGGTAAAACGCCGCAAACCGTAGTTTTTGGACTTTTTTTGACCCCCCCCCAAAAAATGTTTTTTTTGAGGGGGGGGGGTATAAAAAAAACAAAAAAAACACAAAAAAAACAAATGCGGAAAATTGCAGGAAAATGCTGCAAAACGCTAATAAAAGCTGAAAATCCCAAGTTTGTGTGCATGAGGGCTAAAAATGCTTTAACACTGTAAAAAACGCAGCAAAACGCAGTAGAACACTGGCGTTTTGGGGTGTTTTTTTACCAAAACAAAATGTTTTTTGGGTAAAAAAAAAAAAAGCTAAAAACTGCAAACGCGGGAAATGCCGCTAAACGTGGCAAAACGCTGCTAAACCCTAATGCAAAAATGTTACAAAAGGCTGAAAAATGTGGCAAAATGCGGTAAAACGTGGTAAAATGCCGCAAACCGTTGTTTTTGGACTTTTTTTTGACCCCACCCAAAAAAAAATTATTTTTTTGGGGGGGTATAAAAAAAAAAAACCTAAAAAACGCAAATACGTAAAATCACGGGAAACGCTGCAAAACAAAGCTAAAAATGCATTAACGCTGAAAAACGCAGCAAAAAGCAGTAGAATGCTGGCGTTTTGGGGGTGTTTTTTTTTTTTACCAAAACAAAATGTTTTTTGGGTAAAAAAAAAGCTAAAAATTGCAAACCGGGAAAATGCCGCTAAACGTGGCAAAGCGCTGCTAAACGCTAACATAAAATGGCCGCAAACTGTTGATTTTGGACTTCTTTTGAGCAAAAAAAAAAAAAAAACTGGGGGGGGGGGGCTAAAGAATAAAACACTAAAAAATGCAAACGCTGAAATCGCAGGAAAATTCTGCTAAACGCTGAAAAACTTAAACCCCCCCCCCCCCCCAGTGTGCATGGAGCATGAAAATGATCCAGGATGTGCAAATCAGCCGCAGAGTCACCGCCAAGCCGAGTGAAAGCGCGACGTTGCGTCTGGCCCGCCCAGGAAGGGTTAATGTGCCGTCATGGATCTCGGCGTGTTGTTTCCATCCGGTAACATGTTTTGCCGGTCGGCTGCCCATTCCCGCCGCGCTCGGCCAATAGGAAGTCGGTATGAATCAGTAACCTTGACATTACTGGGATGATGACATGGAGCCGTATTACTGCAGATGAATTGCCCTGATAATCCCTCTGTACACACAACACGTTTCCTGCCGCAGAGGGGCCCCGGGGTTGTTGTGTGCACACGGGGGGGGGCCCTTCCACATCATTTCTATTCCATCCGCCTGACATCTCCTTGAATTCTGTGAGTTGCACCTTTCCCTGATATTGTGACCCAATCAGAGCCCAACTATGAGATCAGCTCTCTGCCCTTACTCTACGTAACGTATCCTGCAGACGGAAGTATCACTCCGCTGCCAGACCCAATCAGGCACAAGATACACTATACTGCCCAAAGTATTGCCCCGCCCTCCCAATCATGTGATTCAGGTGTTCCAATCCCCTCCCAATCATGTGATTCAGATGTTCCAATCCCCTCCCAATCATGTGATTCAGGTGTTCCAATCCCCTCCCAATCATGTGATTTAGGTGTTCCAATCCCCTCCCAATCATGTGATTCAGGTGTTCCAATCCCCTCCCAATCATGTGATTTAGGTGTTCCAATCCCCTCCCCAATCATGTGATTTAGGTGTTCCAATCCCCTCCCAATCATGTGATTCAGATGTTCCAATCCCCTCCCAATCATGTGATTCAGGTGTTCCAATCCCCTCCCAATCATGTGATTTAGGTGTTCCAATCCTCTCCATATCATGTGATTCAGGTGTTCCAATCCCCTCCATATCATGTGATTCACGTGTTCCAATCCCCTCCCAATCATGTGATTGAGATGTTCCAATCCCCTCCCAATCATGTGATTCAGGTGTTCCAATCCCCTCCCAATCATGTGATTTAGGTGTTCCAATCCTCTCCATATCATGTGATTCAGGTGTTCCAATCCCCTCCATATCATGTGATTCAGGTGTTCCAATCCCCTCCATATCATGTGATTCAGGTGTTCCAATCCCCTCCATATCATGTGATTCAGGTGTTCCAATCCCCTCCATATCATGTGATTCAGGTGTTCCAATCCCCTCCATATCATGTGATTCAGGTGATTCCAATCCCCTCCATATCATGTGATTCATGTCATCCAATCTCCTCCATATCATGTGATTCAGGTGTTCCAATCCCCTCCATATCATGTGATTCAGGTGTTCCAATCCCCTCCATATCACGTGATTCAGGTGATCCAATCTCCTCCATATCATGTGATTCAGGTGTTCCAATCCCCTCCATATCATGTGATTCGGTGTTCCAATCCCCTCCATATCATGTGATTCAGGTGATCCAATCTCCTCCATATCATGTGATTCAGGTGTTCCAATCCCCTCCATGGACACAGGTGTATACAATCAAGCCCCTAGGCATGCAGACGGCTTCTACAAACATTGGTGAAAGAATGGGTCGCTCTCAGCAGCTCAGTGACTCCAAGCGTGGTCCCGTGATAGGTGGCCACCTGGGCAATAAGTCCATCCGTGACATTTCCTGGCTACTAAATATTCCACGCTCAACTGTTAGTGGGATTATAACAAAGTGGAAGCCACTGGGAACAACATCCACTCAGCCACCAAGTGGTAGGCACGTCACATGACAGGGCGGGGTCAGCGCATGCTGAAGCGCACAGTGCGCAGAAGTCACCAACTGTCTGCAGAGTCAATAGCTAAAGACCTCCAAACTTGGTGTGGCCTTCAGATGAGCCCACACAACAGTGACAGAGCTTCATGGAATGGGTTTCCATGGCCGAGCAGCTGCATCCAAGCCTTCCATCACCAAGTGCAATGCAAAGCGTCAGATGCCGTGGTGTAAAGCACGCCGCCACTGGACTCTAGAGCAGAGGAGACGTGTTCTCTGGAGTGACCAATCATACTTCTCTGTCTGGCCATCCGATGGACGTGTCTGGGTTTGGCGGTTGCCAGGAGAACAATACTTGCCTGACTGCAATTGTGCCAAGTGTAAAGTTTGGTGGAGGGGGGATTATGGTGTGGGGTTGTTTTTCAGGGGTTGGGCTTGGCCCCCTAGTTCCAGTGAAGGGAACTCTTAAGGTGACATTTTGGACAATTTCATGCTCCCAACATTTGTGGGAAGAGTTTGGGATGGCCCCTTCCTGTTCCAACATGACTGCCCACCAGTGCACAAAGCAAGGTCCATAAAGACATGGAGGAGCCAGTTTGGGGTGGAGGAACTTGACTGTCCTGCACAGAGTCCTGACCTCAACCCCATAGAACACCTTTGGGATGAATTAGAGTGGAGACTGCGAGCCAGGCCTCCTCCCCCGACATCAGTGCCTGACCTGACAAATGTGCTTCTGGAAGAATGGTCCAACCTTCCCATAGACACCCTCCTAAACCTTGTGGACGGCCTTCCCAGAAGAGTTGAAGCTGTTATAGCTGCAAAGGGCGGGGCCAACTCAATATTGAACCTTACGGGAGGCCATAAAGGTCATGTGCGTGGAAAGGGGGCCATTAATATTGAACCCTACGGACTAGGTCATGGTCATGCGTGTGGAACTAAGACTGGGGGGCCGGTCCGACCAACTCAAATTGACCCTACGGACTAAGGGGGGGGCCATTAAAGGTCATGTAAAGGCCGGCCGACCAATACTTGGGGTAGTATAGTGTATGTATTGCGGCACAAGATATTAATATCAAATTGGGTTTGTACAACTTTGCCCATTGGGGAGGCATAGTTGCGCTTGATGGTGCACAACACTTCAGTAAGCATAGGATCTTTTTTAGCTGTCCTAGACCACTGAACGTGGCAGTGTCAGAGAGGTGGCTCAAGGACAGTCCTGCCATTAGCCCTCCGCCCTCCATCATCCCCTCAACCCTCCCCTCCTCCAACCTCATAGTCACACTACCCCCCACTATGCCCAAAAGCCCCGCACACCTCCCCAGCGCTCCGCTCCTTCAGCCCAGCTACCCCTGAGGAGGTCTCTAAGGTCTTCACCGAAGCCCGCCTCACCACCTGCCCCTGGACCCTATCCCCTCACAGCTCCTCCAGTCACCCCCCCCCCCATCATTCACTCCCTCACCCACATCTTCAATCTCTCCCTCTCCACTGGCACTTTCCCCTCCCCTCTAAAGCACACACACGCATCACCCCCATACTCAAAAAACCCTCCCTGGACCCCACTGACCTGTACAACCTTAGACCCATCTCCCTGCTGCAAATTCACTTCCAAGCTCCTTGAGCGCCTGGCCTACAATCGCTTAAGCTCCCACCTCACTGACAACAACCTCCTTGATCCCCCTACAGTCTGGCTTCCGTCCCCTACACTCCACCCGAAACCGCCCTCCTCAAAATCACTGCTAACCGCCAAAGCTAATGGCCATTACTCAGTGCTCCTACTCCTCGACCTCTCTGCGGCCTTCGACACAGTCGACCACCCCCCTCCTCCTCCTTAATAAACTACACTCCGTTGGCATCAGAGACTCCGCTCTCTCCTGGCTCTCATCCTATCTATCCCAACGCTCCTTCAGTGTTACCTATAACACTACCACCTCCCCCTCACTCCCCCTCTCTGTTGGGGTCCCCCAAGGCTCTGTCCTCGGGCTCCTTCTCTTCTCCATCTACACCTCCTCCCTTGGCAAACTAATACACCCCCACGGCTTCAATTACCACCTCTATGCCGACGACACACAAATTTACCTCTCCACCCCCCATCTCACCCCCTCTCTCTCCACCCACATCACCCACCTCCTAAACGACATATCAGACTGGATGTCACTCCATTTCCTCAAATTAAACCTTTCCAAAACCGAGCTCCTGGTCTTCCCCCCACCCCGTGCCCCCCCCATCCTCTCCATCACGACTAGCAACGCCACCATCATTCCCACCCCACATGCCAAAGTCCTGAGTGTCACCCTGGACTCAAACCTTTTCTTCCTACCCCACGTCCAATTACTATCAAGATCATGCAGGCTCCACCTCCGCAACATCTCCAAAATACGCACATTCCTCACCCCAGACACTACTAAACAACTCGTACACTCCCTCATCATCTCACGCCTGGACTACTGCAACTCCCTTCCTCACTGGCCTACCCAAACAAACGCTATCCCCACTCCAGTCTATCCTGAACTCAGCGGCCAGACTCATCCACCTCACCAACCGCTCCACATCTGCTTCCCCCCCTCTGCCAATCCCTTCACTGGCTCCCGATTGCCCAGCAAACTACCTAACCGACCTGATACCCAAATACTACCCTACCCGTGCCCTTCGCTCCACACAGGACCTCCTACTCTTTAGCTCCCTGCTCTCCTCCTCCCACGCCCGATTGCAGGATTTCTCCAGGACTTCCCCCATCCTCTGGAACTCCCTACCCCAATCCATCAGACTGTCACCTACCCTCCTCACCTTCAGGCGCACCCTGAAAACCCACCTCTTCAGGGAAGCCTACCCCACCCTCACCTAACAACTGACCTCCTCCACTCCTCCCACCACTCCATCCCCCACAGCCATTTCCTCCTGTACCACTTTCCCCTCCCTCCTAGATTGTAAGCTCGAAAGAGCAGGGCCCTCGAACCCCTCGTGTATTGTATTGTTTCTGTCTTGTCTCATGTTCTGTCCCCACTATAATGTACAGCGCTGAGCAAACCCTTTGGCGCTATATAAATACTGTATAATAATAATAATTGGGGAGGCATGGTTGCTCTTGATGGTGAGCAACACTTCAGTAAGTGTAAGTTCTCCAGTAGTTGTCCTAGATCATTGCACTAGGTGGTGGGTCATAGACAATCCTCCCATTGGGGAGGCTTGGTTGCTCTTGATGGTGCTCAATGTGACGGGTGCGGCGTCAGACCCCAGCCCTTCTCACCAAACACGTGACCGAAGGACTAGCCAATCTAAAACCGCCATGTCACGTGCGTAACAATGCCACACCCAGCTGCACCCTGCACACCGATTTTCCAGCTAATTGGACCACAATCGATGTACCTGCAGCCCTAATGCGATTGTTACTGGGTCAGGTTAATTACGCAATTAACCCTTCACACTGCCACCACCTCCTTTTTATACAGAGAAAGAGGAAACTCAGCAATACACTAGGATGATTGGTTAATCGACAGTATACCGCTACCTCTACAGACCGGTTATACAGAGGGTTAAACACTCATAGTAGCGCTCTTCAGCGGCAGGGATTCGTAAGTTACATTCAAGAGCTATAGAAACAGTTCAACACTTTCAGAAAGTAAGATTTATTACCAAAAGGTTAAAAGGGTGCAGCAAAAATATTTACAGAAAGAAGATGTAACCAATATATATATATATACATAAATATACAGAGCATAACAGCACAGCAAACAGATAACAGAAAAGAGTTTAAAGGGTTAAAGTACTTGCCAGTCAGCCTTGGTTTTAAGCAGCTTCAAGTTTCATGAGCTTAAAAGGGATTTCTGGTATCGACTGCTAGTTCCGTTGGTTCATCGCAGGAGACTTAGCTTTCTCTCGGTCTGCTAGATGTTAAAACGCAGACGGTCCTTACTTCTCTGACTACACACAAAGCATAACAGCTTCTTTTCTACCCAAAATCAACTGGGATCTTCCTACAATGGACAAGCCAATTACCTTATTTGGCAAGAGGATTGTATAGACAGCTACACTGAACGCATTCCTGAGGGAGGGGGAATGAGGGGATACATACAGACTTCTTAACGCAGTGAGAGCCGTGCCTGGCTCTTGTATGCATGACTGTGACACTCAACACTTCATTAAGCGTAGGATCATTGGTAGCTGCCCTAGTCCAGCAGTGTCAGAGAGGTAGCTCAAGGAATGTCTTGCCATTGGGGAGGCATGGTTGCTCTTGATGGTGCTCAATACTTCAGTAAGTGTAAGTTATTCAGTAGC